CGCGAGACCCTCCTCCTCCTCCCCCTTCTCCCTCTCCCTCCAAAGCAAGTGCATCAACTCCCCCCTCCTCCCTCAGCCGTCTTCATCCTCCCTCCCTTGGAAACGAACTGAATCACAGCCAACCCGTAAAAAGGGGGCTCGCTGAACTACCCCGAAGGCGTGGCAGTTCGTAATTAGGCCTGAGATCATTACGGTTATTTGGCGAGGAGAGGGTAGAGGGAGGGGGAGGGAGTGGTGAAGGGTCGACGGCTTTGCGTAGCGCGTAGTAGCAGCAGCTGAGATAGCCCGCGATTAGTCCTACGGCCGATAAAGTGGGGCGTTTTCAATACGTTGGTACGCCACTGTTCCCTCTTATTTTACAGACGTCTCCAGTGTTCTTGCTTGGCACAACCGAACTAGGCCTACGGAGGGGGTGTTGGGACAAGCTCTCCCTTCTGCAACACGGCTTAGAGAGGGCATTTAAACCCTCGTTCACTCTTCTCTCTACAGTAAGCCTAACTCTTTCAGCGACCCATGAAAAGGCTCACACAATTCTTTCTTGCCGTTTAACAAACATCTCTCACATCTCCTGGAACAGAGCAACCCTTAACAGCATCAAAACTTCATGTAGGCCTATGTAATTGCGCAAAATAGCTTCGACGAAGAATATCATATCCAAGGTCTTGCAATAAGAAGTGAGCACACGCACACAAAAACGAACATGCGACTCCAGTTCGTACGCTAAAATTAAACTCCGTCGAGTGTCGACTTGACATGGACCTGTACCTAAGGAGCTACTGTATAACTCCGAGGCCCCAAATAAGTCTTTCAAATGGTTAATATTCCTGACACAACTCGCAGACCGACTCACTTGCCCCAGCATCTACATATTCACGCCTTCGGACACTTTCGCCTACTAGCTTTGCAACCGGAAAAAATACAGCTCGCACACGGCCTACATGCAGAAGAAAGATCTAAGTCCAAATATAAAATTCAGAGCCAAATAACCCTCGGAGAATAACCCTTTGAGCGTGGCTTGGTAGAATTGAATTGACATATATCAACCTTTGGCAATTGTCCTTCCATCAAAACCTCCAAGGCAGCTTATGACAGGCAGGCCATATGCCGCCGTCGGTGGCCTACGCATAGAGGTCATTCACACCTGAAACTCAATCACGCTTTGCGCCCCTTGGCCAACTATACAACCTCCTGACTTTACACATCCCTCTCCTTGGGCAACCCGCCGAATTTAGAATGCCCTGCGTATTTTTAAAGGTGACGAAAAACCATTACAGTACAATGAACGCGCAAGTATAGAGCATATAGTTTTCCCGATATCCAAGTTGGCGCTTAATCCACGCGACTCTTAGTTGGCAACACTGCCCTCCCGACCCGTCCAGTGACTTACAACTCCCAACTCAGCCGGTGTGTCCGAAACCGCCGACTTGCATCAGAAGTGTAACGTTGGATTTAACTAATAAATGTGACGGCACACTAATGACCCGCGTTCATCCAATTTCCTTTGAAAATTGGCCTCGTAATCCCTTTAGATGTATTGCATTGCATGTAGGTTTTCTTTCTTCCATTTTCCTCTCTCCCGGCGTTCGGACGAAGCAAGTCGGCGGCGGCGGACGACTAGAGTAAACGTAGTAGCAAAAGTTTGTCGGAACTAATTTTCACCCCGAGTTCAACTTTGACTTCTACGGAAAAGGGAGACCACGCGACGAAATTTCCAGAAATCCGCGGGGAAACACAAGACAAGAAGATCGATTGGGAAGCGAAATCAAAACACAGCGCAAATTGAGTAATGATTCCGAGTAATAAACCGCAAAAACGAAGCCAACGCCTGCCTAGCGACTCCACAGGTTTCAACCCGTTCGTTGCAACCCACAGTTCTGCAACGTGACCAACCCACACTTACCGTCGGTGCCGGTTAAGACTGACCCTTTTGTTGACTCTCAGTACTAAAGGCTGTTACATCATCGATCGGTCATAATTTGGCATTTCCATAATAGAATCTCTCTCTCTCTCTCTCTCTCTCTCT